AAGGAGAAAGCATCTGATAATTCAAAATCAAGATTGTCGTCTAAAAATCAGATTTCAATCCAGTAAAAGAAATGTTAATCTATCAATTATTTAATTGATTTGAGTTAATTAATCTAACAAAATTGCATATGGGAAAGAACAATATCGTGGAATTATGAAGCACGCTGTTTTTCAAAGGGTGAGAAAGAAGTCACAGTTTAGTCATATAATATATGCTAAGCATGTAAAAAGTCAGAAATTCAACCTTCGGCTACAAGGATCAGATACGGAGTGCCCAAAACTTTAGAGAGCTGTGGCAGGTCAGAAAGGATGTAGCAGTTTAGTAGGATCTAGGATAAGACAGTTTCCTAGATTCTTAAGGCAGATTGTGCATACGTGCACCATAGCAAGCATCTTAGAAAAGGCATACAGTATTCCGGTATTATGAGAAGAATTGCTCTTTTAAGGTAACACTATCTGCAGTAACTTCCCTTTCAGTTACTTGAAACTTAATTTAATTGGCCAAGCATTGGTAATTGATTAATTTAACTCAAAGATTTATTTAATGTTGACATCCCATCTTCTTGATCTTCCTTTCAGAGAGTAAGATAAAGCTAATAATTTAAGATATGAACAAGATGAGAGAGTAGAGAACAAGTGATTGAGTCATTTGCATTTGTCAAGTTTATACTCAGTTACGCTGGTAGACGAGTTGTCATGTGAGAATAGGGTTGGGGGTAGGTCACCACATGTGAAAGAAGTCCTTAGATTGTCTAGAAGACTGAATTTCAGTAGAAGCAAAGCAAGATGTGAGAAAGAAGCTGTAGACAAGAGTAAAAAAAAAGTCAAGAGTTGATGAGACATTTTGAATGACCAAATTAAGTCCCACTAATGTTAGTGGAATTTAGCCATTTACATGCCACAATTTCCATTCCCCAATGTCTTGAAGGCAGTTTGAAGCCAACCCATTATCATATTGACTTCTGTTGATCTTGAAACTCTGAATACACACAGGAGCTAATTAGTGCTCCCTCCAGTTAACCAAAAAGAGAATACAAAGAGCAGTGCTCTGTCCCAAACTACTGCCAGTCTCAGAATAACAAAAATCCCCTTATATTCATACTATGCAAAAGGGAAAGAAAACACATTGCTGTCATCCTTCCCCCATTTTCTTCATGTTATACACACTAGTCTGGTGATACCCACAGACATCCAGAGTGAATGGTAGCTGTGAGGGGAGCTCCTAAACCACTAAGCCTTCATTTCTCTATTGTACTGAAAGGATCGGTGCAACAGGAGGCAATACTAACACAAAACCACATATTCTGCAACTTAAAATGCACTGCTGCTGGATCAAAAATAAATCAGCATCTAAACACACTAGTTTCATCAGATCAGAAGAAGGTGAAGATGATTCTGAACTGGTGAAAAAACTCCACGTGGAAATGCCCTTAGACTGAATACTGTCCATGACTTCTAAAAACAACTTTGTTTAGAAAGGCAGTGTATAAATATATTAAGTACATTTAATACATTAGAGTATGTTCTAATCAAACACTGATATTAAAATGTTATTTTGGAGCCCTTCAGGTTGCCAAGCCTAATGCCCAAGAATCAAGGGTTCTTGGTGCTAGTCCTTTCAGCTGTTGACAGACAACAAGGAGGAGAGATACTCCAAGGAGAAGGCAAGTTTTGGATGATCATATTTGGCAGTGATAAAGTGGGACTAAAATTAAATATAAAGAAGACCAAACTAAGGACAACAGGAACAGCAACCAGCCTTATAATTAACAATGAATATACTGAAATAGTGGATAGCTTCAGCCTTTTGGGATCAACCATCAACAGTAAAGGAATAAGCAGTCAAGAATTTTGCTGCAGACTAGCGCTTGGTGCTGTGGGTGGGTGCTATGGAGTGCAGGGGGTGGGCGGGTGCCGTGGATGGATGCCATGGAGCATGGGAGTGGGTGCTACAGAGCACAGGTGCTGCAGGCTGGTGCTATGGAGCAGGGCTGGTGCCATGGGCAGGTCTTATGGAGTGCAGCAGGTTGGTGCTACGGAGCATGGGCAGGGGCTGAAAAGTGGCAGAAGCAACTTGCAACTTCCTGCCAGCTTCCCCATTGACTTTGCTTGTGGGAAGCCGGCAGGGAAGGTCGCAAATGGTGATCCTGTGACCATGAGATGCTGCCACTATTGTAATTGCGAGCTGATTGCCAAGCACCCAAATTGCGATCTCATGATCGTGGGGACACCATGATGGCCACAGCTTCGCAGACTGGTTGTAAGTTCCCCTTGTTCAGCGCCTTCGTAACTTTGAACAGTTGCTGAACAAATGGTCGTAACCTGAGGACTACTTTTACTACACAAAGCCATATTGCAGTTTGTTTAGTTTATGGCTTGATGTATTATGCAAACCCTGATTGTGGTTTCTTCAATAAACCATATTGAAGGAAACATTGTTTAAGTTGATATGTAAACTCTGAGTGAGGTGTTTTGTATAGGTTCAAAGTGATACCAACAATGTACTAATTTGTTTTTAATCTAATTTGTATCTCATTCTATAAAGTTCTTTTTCTGCCTGTATACTTCATCCCTAACTTGCTGTTGCCATTGTTCTCTGCAATGTTTCTTGAAATATTTCTGCAGATCTCATAATAAGCTGGAAACAGGCTCAATGGGGCTGTTTCATTGTTAATTCATTCTGTTCAAAAATAATCCAAGGCAAATGGGAGACGTATTGCTTTATAAATTAGATGAATGTGAAACAGATTTAGCAGAATGGATTTGTTTTCTGTCATATTTCTTTTTGGCTTATTCATCTACACATATATTTTAAAATTTTATTGCAATCAACCAGTTTAGAGACAAATTATGTGTTTTATCATTAGACGTGTATTTTGTTGTGGTAGATGTATGTTTTAAACCCTCAGTTTTAGCTCTTCCTTACTTCTCCCATACAGTTGAGAAGTCCATTGTGCAAGTCACCACAATTTTCTGGGAAGTGTGGATACCACTCTATGACGTGTGCAGAGATCAAAAGTCCACTGGCTCTTAGGTAGGGTTGCATTTCTCACCAGATCAGAATAGGCTTTTCCTTTCTTGTTTTGGCTTACTTTATTGTGTAAACTCAGCCACTCTGGTTTGGTTTATAAACTTTGGGTTATAACTAAGTATATGTTAACACAACCAATTGTAGTTACACAGCTGTGATCACTACCATGTCTTCTTGAATGGGAAAATGCCCCCTCTGACTTAGAATCTGGATGGGGCAGAACAGATGATTCTCAGAACCACATGTTTAAAGAAAAAGTTCCACTTTTCTCTTTTAGCCAAGTGTTTTCATGAACATAGAGTGAGCACAAATGCAACTGATTTTAACCCAAGCAACAAAGTAAGGTCTCGAGCAAACAGGATAGCTGCATGAAATGTAGATCTGCATACTAAGGGTAGCAATCATTAACCTGTAGACAGATTGATCAAACACACACACACACAGAATGGGAGCAGATGTAAAACTATCCAGCTGACCAAAAGAACCCCAGTTGAACTAAAAAGAAATGCCATACTCTTAGCACATCTGCCTATATTTTTCGTACCAGCTTTATCTTTCTTGTTCTGGTTCTTTTGGGGGGCTTTAGGCACTGGACCAAATCAGAAAATCTGCTAACATCCTTGCTTCTCTTAAGATCTGTGAGTACTTGGGACAAGGAGACTTCTAAGTCCACATCTTATCTCTTATTGGAAAAGGCCAGCGGCTTTAATTATATACTTGGAGTCCCCAGCTAAGTAGCCGGCCCTTAGATCCACTACAGACATTCATACCCTGAATATGAATATAAAAATAGAAG